GGAATCTGTAATGTCGGCTAAATGTCTGTCGTGGTCTGACTTTTTGACACAATTTGACATCATGTATTTCGGTTTTTACTTGAAAAAGAGGCAAAATTTCGATACCGGTGCCAAAGTCACAACGCCATGGGCGTGGATGGTCTTCAAAGGGATCTGCAGTAGGAAAGCTTTTCTTTGAGGTGTTTACATTGTTATTGGAATGTGTCTCAGGAATTATGAAGCTGCATTCTGGATCACGTTTAGTACTTGCTGAGGAGCTTGAAGAAGTAGGAACAGGTAGCGGTGACTTGGAACCATGGAGGAACAAAGTAGGAACAGAGCCGGGTTTAAGTCTTTTGTATAATAACAACTTCTCTCAAAGTGTTTACCACAAATGTATAAGTTATTTGCAATATTATCTCCTGAAATGGTTTTAATGGCTATACATTCCCTTAGGTAAAAGATTCATGTTGGGGTACGTACTTGTAGCATTAAAAACATTTTTGCACCACAACCTTTTGTTCACAGTGTTTGAAGGGAATCTGTGTATTATTGTGTGGTCTCTAGGATCCTTGATTACCCCACAGGCAGCCACAGAGCAATATTTTTTGGACATTTTGATAATATCAATTCAAGCACAAAGTGTTTTGGCGCGTGACAAAACGGATTAATTACAGGTTCCTGTAACTCCCGAAGGGAGTGACATCTTTTGATATTTTCCCTTTTGACAAGTCGGACGATTGTAACCAATTGGAGAGACTTTAATAGTGAATCAACGAAGACGACGGTGAAATTAAACACATGACGTTTGTCACCAGTGAGAAAACTCAGCGAAGTCAAGAGTAGGGTCCCTGTAACGCGAAAATCCACTGGATTTTGGATCCACTCCTGATTTATTTCATTTTATAAGTTTTGAAAGAAACGAAATTTGTTGCACTGTACTGCCTGGGCTTAAAAAATTGCAGAATTAAGAAAAATAAAAGTAGATTGTATACTTAACAACAGTTTTCACTATTTAAGGCATTTGTTTCATCGTAGAAGAGTGAACATCTTCATCTTTCAGTTGTCACACACTATCAACATATCCACTTTTGTTATAGACGATGTTTATTCAGTAAACTTACTCCACATGCTTTTAATGTCAGATTCAAAATCTTTTTTTGAGTACTGCTAAGTATAACAACACTGTACCTGAATTTATGCAAATTGTCGCTACCTTCTGTGCTAACTTTTAGAGACTTTCATATTTTTTTTATAATTTCTATACATCAAACAATAATTGTTCGGTGCACTTTTTGCAGGCACACAAGAATATTTATAAGCGTTAGTAAGTATATAAAAGTTGTTTCATAAAATTGTTGTACTATTAAAATGCACAAGAATGTGTGTAACTTGTTCCCAAAAGTTCTTGACTACGCTTTGTGAAACAACTTCATTGTTCTAATTATGTAAACAACTATTAACTCTATTATTAGAACACATTTGCTTGATGCCGTTTCTAATGCAGGTTTGTTGCATATTGATTGCTCAGGATTTCAACAAAATAATTACTTCAAATGAATACATTTATGGGTTAATTATAACCAAATTGTAATAAACAATGTTACGAACTTACGAGTAATATTTTTGAGGGCGAATATAAATTTCCCCAGTAAATTCATGTAATTGAGCCTTTTTATTGGCAGAATGTTAATAATTTTAGTATGTTTGTAAAGACACTGAGTGAAATAAGTGACCAAAAATAGATAAAACATATCTTATCGGTGATCAGCACTAGTGTTTTTGTTTTTGAAACCAATGTATTCAATATTCACTTTTACTGCCGGTACCCTACTTCTCTCAAACAGTATGATTTTTTCAGTGTGCAAGTTCACATTCTTTTGTATGGTCAGACCAAGCACAAATTATGTTTTTAAATTTATTGAAATTATTTTAAAGTTATAAATTATAACTGGGTAGTTGCAAATTAGGCTTCAACAAATTGAAAGACGTTTTTATTTTTTAAATTAAAAAAGGCATAGTGGGGAATCTGACTTTAATAATAACATTTTTTACAATATGGCCGACGTTTCTGACTTCCAACTTTGTCCTTTATCAAGGCTACAAAATTTAGTGGTTGTATCAGAATGAGACTATTTTTACCAATTTCTTACATAATGTACAGTATAAATTTTGTCACTATTAAATTTTAACATTCTACAACACATTTATCTAATACTGTAAAATATGGATAACTTTGCTAAACACTTAAATTTGTATAAAGGTAAAAGCGAACTTTTTTATAATAATATTTTAAATCGTTTTTGAGTCAGGCAACTTCTGAAATAAAATTTCATAAACCTACAAGTTACTAGCACTAACATATAGCATGGTCAACTAAAATGTGTTGTCTTACTTGTCAGTACTGGATAAAATAAACTAAATAAACTCAGGGGTGGCTGGTCCCAGGGGGCACACGGACACGTACCCTCTCAAAATTGCAACGTCTACAAACACACTGGACGTAGCAAAATAGTAATTTCAATATTTCAAAAATGATCCGAAAATTTGTGTCATAATTTATCTTGCTCTATTTGTATAAAATGTCTTGGACATATGATACGTTGCTGAAGTGCTGATAAAAGCGGAGACCAAATCATGCCTCACTTAGACGTTTTGTTTACACCGTTGCCATGGAAACCGTGCGTTTAGTCGCTGTATTCAGCTGGAATCGGGTCTTGCTTGAACAGTGACCACTACCAGTAACTAGTTGGAGAATTTCAAAATAATAAATTGTTTTCTATTGTTTGTCTTCTCAGTAATGATTTAAAACCAAAGGTATGTGGACAAGCACTTTTTTCTTTTATTGAATGTATTTGTGTATTTATTTCCGCCATATATTCTCGTCTATTAATTGGTAATAACAACCTCTTTTATATCTTCATATTTAACTCATCAATCAAATTGTGTCCCCTCATTTCAAAAGGTCACGAGCCGCCATTGAATAAACTACATTATAAAACTATAATTAATGATACATACATGTCGAGTAAAACTTAAGTTGAATAATATTAGGAAACAAAAATGTATGTGTAATAAACTTTTAAAATCAGATTAAACCATTAATAATCATAACTAAACTACATCATAAAACACACAGTTTATATATTTCTGACTACATGTTATCTTGTGCCTCATATTAATGATTATATAAAAACTAAGAATAATTTCATAAATTTGACTTAAGCTGTTAATGTTATCTCTTAACGTTCACAGTTTTGTTTTTCCTAATTTGGACCATTTCACTTATGCCACTAGTTCACCTCGACAGGAATGGAATACTTTTCGACTTTGTGCGTAATATATTACTTTTCAAAATTTTGTTCATCTTATTAGATAAATTCTTTATATGTATGGAAACTTATAATATTTCTGTTTTTGATTAGTATTATTATTTTTGAAATTTTTATTTTGGTTATATTTATTGATTATATCAGTGGTTACTCTATTGATTAACGAAATAGGGTAGTGGTTATTGACTAATATATAAATAAAAACAACTTTCTCACAGTAAGTGATGTTATTTCAACTGAAAAACTGTTTTCAGAAAAATGCAAAGGGTACAATCGGTCATCGAGGAGGAACGAGGAAATTATTATCTAAACTTTTGACATCAATTTTTTATTCCAGTTTGAAAATAAACATGGTACTTAAAAATATTTTACGAAGGTAAGAATAACGAATAAATTGTTGCGAAGAAATTAGGCCAGAGCGACAGTTATCAAATGATGAATAAAACATACACGAGGTGTATTTATTTAAAAATTTGAGAATATTCTAGTTCAGCTTGTAACACGTTTGCAACCTATTTGTCAATTGCATTTAATAGTGTTACTCTTTCTCTAGTGTTCTGAATTATTAAAACCATAGAATAGTATAAAAATAAAAAGTGAAAAATAATAACAGTTACATAAAAATTTCCAGTGTTTTTATAATTGCCGTTAAACATCCAAACAAAAAAAAAATGATTGACTCTTTTCTACAGTGTGTTTTTGTAAAGTTTTAAAATCGTTAGAAACTATTATATAAAATTTTGTTGATGCATGTCAAAATTTGAAACAAAAAAAATACGCCATATAATACACTCGGATATTCCCACTAAATTAAACTGTCAAGAATGCATTGTACATTCACGTCATTGAGTAATCAATTTTTAATTAACACTTATAATATAAATATATAAAATATAATGTCGTTATGCAACGTTTGAGCAAAGAGTATTATTTGTTTGCTTGAAATAGTAAGAACAAGCATGTGATGTAAATGTGTGGTGTAATTTTAACTTGACATTACTATTGAAATTAAAATAATGACAGTTTAGATATAATATTATATGTGCTGAGAGAAGGATCAAAACAGTTTAAAATGGAAAATTAACTTTATAAAAATAATTTTTACGTTAGGTTTTTTTTATTGAAATGAACACATTAGGTCATAAGTTTACATTATTATTTTGTCATGGAAAACGTTGCTCCTTTTTGTATTTTAAATTACAGTGACACAAGCTTCATTAGTGTTATCAACTCAACTGTAACATCACCGCTTTTTTGTGTTCACTCGAATCAATTAACGCGAAATGACAACTTTCCCAGCAAAATTAGTAAAGAGTCGTATGTTGTGTTGTTTTATAAATTAAATTTCCTACTGATAACATCACCACTATAGGTATTTTCCACATCTAATCTACATTTGTTTGGCCAAGTCAATAATTCATTCAAATGGGAAATTCCGATAATTTAAAAACATCCTAAAAAAACCCACTTGTTCTTTCTCACTTTAAAAATTGGACTAAATTTTATGACGAATCCTTGAAGTATTTGGCTTAGTGTTTAAATTTCCTAGGTGCTTATGGTTGCTGATATTTTGAAAGCGTAATTTCTTTCACTGCACTGTAATGATGATAATTAGTCTCAGACGGAATAGAGAGCATCTACTTTTGACCTTCGTCAGACCATCAACAAGGCCTGCGGCTTTGAGAATTACTCTCAGGTTCAACAGGTACAATGACGTATATATACAACATTTGAAATTTTGAAGACAGTTGGTAGTTTCCTTTATAGTGAGTAACATAGTGACAAGAGAACAAGGATCTGAGGGGTGAGAGAGAGTTTTCGAACTTTATGCTTAAGACACATGCGTTAAATTTACATTAGTTAAAGGAATTTTATTTTAATTGCTTATAATCTCTAAGACACGGTGTATATTTATGTGTTTGTGTTCGTTATGTGTGTAATTATTTTTCACTTTTTTTTGTTAATAAGTGCTGGTTGACAAAAAGTTACTTTACTGTAGTCGTGCAAAACTTATTCAAGTAACGTTAAATATCTTGCAGGTCTGTGAATATAAATGATTAGAAAAATGTGATTATTTCATGAGACACACACGTATCGATTGCAGCTAATATTTGTTAGTATCGTACATATAAAATTTTAGTTTAAAATTTTCTAAAACGTTAGTTTTCGAAAATTAATAATGAGATACATTTTAATTTCAGTCTTTTATAGAAATTTCGAATTTTTCTCTGTTGCTTCAAATTAACAGTTTAGAAATATTTTATAATTTTAACATATTTTTGTATATAATATATGTATTGAAAGTTACTTTGCAGTCTTAGAATTACAGTTCCACTATATAGGTATAATGTGAAAATATAATTTTGGATATTAAAGTAGGCAACAAAATCAAGAAGAAAATACTAAAAAAATAAAAATAAACACCTGACAAATTTCTTTCTCATAAGGCCATTAGTTAAGATCAATTAGTATTTCATTTGTTAACCAAAGAAGTAACTCAGTTTTATAAAAAAATTGCCGTAGATATACTTTAATTGACTATTAATATTAGATTATGTTGCTGTGTGAACGATATTCTGATGTCATTAAATATATGGATTATAGATGGAGGCTCGTTAAACATTGTACTGTACGATTTTTTTTTAATTGTTGCCCTAGTTGGCCATGGTGCGTAAGTAGTGCAACTGAAACGGCTGACGTAAGCGTCATGGCCAACTAGAGCAAAAATTAAAAAAAATCAAAATACTTAGTACTATGTGTTTGGTTCCATTTTAGCCAATTTTGAAAGGAATTGTACAAAACTTAATGCTTATTATGTTATTAATATTTTAATGGGCAAATTTTACATATATGATGGAAAATCAAAAAACCTTCTTCTAAAAAGTCGCAAAAATTCATGCAAATAATGTGAAAAATCATATTTTTGAGATTTTCAAATAATGCCGAATGTGCAAATATTGCAGATTAATGTTTCTTAATACTAGATATATTTTTGAATTTATGGCATATTGTTGTATAAGTTATTAAAAAATATCCATTTTCGTTTTTACGCATACTATTAAACTTGGTGTTAGGACTAATATGAAAGAATAATAAAATACAGTACATCATTTTTGAAAAAAAATTAAGAGACATAATTAATTAGGTTGTTTTTACAGTCTTGAATCTGTTGATGATATTAAAGTAATAACTTGGGTAATATTTATTAATAAAATTCTGCTCAGCTTTGGATAGTTAAAAAACTATGTGAATAATTATGTAAATATTTTGTGGTAATTATACATTTTAATAATAATCAGAACAAAAAGTAAATAAAATCTGTAAAACATTCAACCAAATGAAATGATTTTTGAAAAAAAATGTCTATACCTTGACAACATCTAAAAAACTATTATTCAAACACTGTCATATTTTTTAAATATAGTTACTTAGTCCTTCAAAAACTGATCCAAATGTTTACGCGAGTCTGTAAAATTTACATTTTTTTTTATTGTAGATTTATCCTTGCTTTTGTCTCGTATCATGTTTCTTTGTCTTAATCAAAATCAGTACTAAAAATAAAGTTGCTCTGAGGAAAAGTGGTCAGTGTCGTTAAAATTCTGACAGTATGTAAGCCCGGTGAAATGGATTTCCGAGGTTAAAACCCAAACAAACACTAATGTAAAATAAGCTACTCAAAATGAAATGTCAGTATATAAGCCCGAGGTGATCCGCTGTTTTCGAGACTTTCCTGTGTGATTAATTAAGTACATAAGTCCAGTGTTATGAACTTCTGAGGTAAAATCATGAAATGCTAATGCAACATGTGCATGACAATTAAAATATTAAGTACATGTAAAAGCACGGAACCAATGTTTGTATGAAAAATACATATATCTCTGGTGCTTTTTAATCATATTTCATTCCTGAAATGTGTGCAGCATATGCATCATGTATTAGGGACGTACTGTATAAAAATAATGTCTGACATAATTAACATTCTAAGTTGAAGAACAATTAATGTGGGAATGTAACACATGTAACATTTATAAAGTCATGACAAAAAATAATTTATTCATGTCTTTTTGTTTTTTGTGTTGATTTTTTTCGTATTCAAGTACTTAGCTCTTAATCAAACAGAGAAACAAAGTTACGAGTTTTCAGAAACTTGATGTTTCTGTTAAGGTTGAACTATACGTTATAAAATTAAGACGAAATATTGGTACGATTTTATTTAAAAAGAACTTCCATATCGTCGTATAGGTAGTCTAGTCAGTCGAGAATAATTCTTATTTATACAAGACAAATTTTGCTTTTAATTTTACATTTACGCATAGAGATGTACAAATTTGTGTTATGTGATGAGGTGTGTACAAATGATGTATAATATGTGGGGATTATGTTTATTTTCCTAACAGCATGTCATAAAAAATATAATTATGATTTCTTAATAATTTTGTGACGCCAGTCTACGTATATTTACAAGCACTACGAGTTAATATGAACTGCGAGCCTGCGTCAAACCATTCAACTCGTTTTCCTTGATTCTTTTATCTCATTAAAATGTATATAAACTTTAACAAAAAACGCACAATAACTGTTATTAACCGTGTGAAGATGAGCAACAATTAGAATTTGGTACATCGTTACAGCACAACAAAAATTGAAATTTGGTGCTAATTATTTTGAACAAATCCATGTCGTTGTAAACAACGCGCAGACATTATAATGAAATTTCAGTGATTCATTTGGAATGTGTAATTTAAATGTAACAAGTGTTTATGCAAAACTATGGTACTTCTAAATTGCCTATAAATCCTTGGAATGACAATAGAAATAAGAATAAACACTTTTTGTTAATGCATTTCACGTTTGCTACTTGTAAAAGCACTACCGACTGCTTATCTAATAAAGACATCGCACACACGCCGCTCTTAGTATCTCGCGTTATTATCGTCTGACTGTTTGATTTATTTCTTATTTCAGAGAAAATGTGGTTACTCTTACATGTAACATTACTGTTACCAGTAATAATTCTTGCGTTGCCTACACATCACTTGGGAAAATCCGCCGCAATATCGGCAAGTTTTGACGCTGCTGCTGTAAGTATAAACAAATAAAATATCTTTGGTTTAGCTCAAACCATTTTAGCCAAAGCCCTTGTTCAGTTTTGAAAATGGCAACGTTGGAGTCAACTTTCTTGGTTACCATGCTTCTGCTGGTCTCGGTGGATTATTAACAGGAAATGCTGCTCAGGGTGGCCTTCATGCACAAGCTGGTACACCCCATGGGCAAATTGCTGGAGCTGGACTTGGAGGAGGAGTAGATGGAAGCGGTAATGCATCTGGTTTTTCGTATCATTTTGGCAAGGGGTTTGGCCCCTTAGATATTTTGCCGTTGTTGAGGCGGCGTATACCTCAAACAACTGAGGCACCAGAAGAACTGCCTGAAACCACTCTAACACCAGAAAAATCAGCAGTGGAGACTTTTGATCAGTAGCTAATTGTATACGGAGGCCCTGTGGGCAGACTTCTTAAACCAGCAACATACGTATCGGTTTTGGTAGTACAGAACGTGATGAAAATATAAAAAAAGTGTTTTTAAAGCCGTTTAATTTTACTTGGTACAGGTAGTTGTAAAATATTTGCACTTTGTATTGTTATCGCACTAGACTTGTTTCCATAGCAAATAAGCTTATTCAGTATTTCTGGATTTTATTATTTGTTTTCAAAGTTGTTTATCCATGTTGTGTAACTATTTTTAAACAATTTTTAATTGACTACCAACGACTTGTCCTGGAAGAAACAAACTTAATGCTTTTGTCCTTGTTTTTTTGCGGATGTTTTATGTCTTAGTTTTTGAAATTGATTTTGTCCACACGAGTTTATACTTACAATCAATGTGTGTCATTTTCCTCTAAAGAAAATGAAGATCTAATTTGCCATTTCAGTTTTGAACATTTATACATCCTTATTTTTTTAAAACAAAATTTCGAGTCATTTTTTATGTTGATGTGTAACAAAAAGTAATAATTATTTACCAAGAAAAGATAATGCATTAACTGGTTTCCTTAGTAAACAAACAGAAGTAAGAATAAAACAAAGATGGAAAATGGAATCTGGTTTTAATTTCCATAATTCTTAAATTGACTACTAAATAAAATGTAGTTTTTTTCCACTGAAAGAACGTAAATGTGACAATTTTAGTAACACGTTATATTTATCAAATCCTAAATTTTTTTAAGACAATCAAAGGTATTACAGTTTAGGTTATAATCACAATTTCCCTAAACGTTAAAATTGTTATTAATTATATGTTATATGTATATAACAACCTAGAGCGATAAATCGAGGATTGTTCAGGGTCATTTTAGCGCATATCTACTGTCATGTTTTTTGGAGTCTTACGGAAATCTTACTTGACACTTGCAGAGTGATATAATGATATGTTTATTTTTGGCCAGTCAGAAGTTACGAATTTAAACATGAAAATGAAACCATTTAAATTGAAACTTAATTTGTAAAATAGTTCTTATCTACAAGGGGAGTTTTCGTTAAACCTCAGTTTTAAATACTGTTTGCTATTATATATGGTTTAAGTCGGGTCAATGGTTTTACAGAAAGAAAGAAATATTAGGTATTATAGTGTAGTAGACTTTTCACAACGTAATGCAAAGAAAAATACACGTTTTTATGATTTTGTATATAAAATCATTGTACTGGATGATAAACATTGCTTTTGTGATAATACAATATTTAACAAAGTTCATAAAGATATCTCAAAAAACTGTATTCTTCAAGAACAGACTATATGTTACAGTACCATAGAACTACTGCAGTTCATGGTTATTGTGCATTACTTACCGTCGTAGAGAGTATTATTTATAGAAAATATTTATTACTTTTCACAATTCCCACCTTGTACTCTATCTACTCTGACAATTCTCATTGATTTTTTCAGTAGGTTAATTCACACTAGATGAACTGTACCCAAACTTGGAGTATTACATCTTTAAAAGGAAATACGTATCTGTTGGTTCGATTAAGTGATGGAACAATAATTATATATAACAGAGTTGCATTTCTCTGTTTTATATTATTTTGCAAATTCATGCAATCATCAAGATAATACAGTTATTTTCGAGGTTACCTTTAAGTCAAATATTTGACATTTTTAAGAACTCGTGTAACTAATTGCGCATGGGGCTATTTTTTCTTTTGATTTACACTAGAACTACTCATCTGTTTAATGCAGTACTGATTAATACATGCTGTTTAAAAATAATTTACAATTAAGTTACTGATTTACTAATTAGATGTTTTGCTCTCGTAGTAATAATTAAAAACTCCCTTCAAGAAACCATTGAATACTATCACTTTCTTGAGTGTTAATATTTCAAAATTAAAAAAAAAATCCAGAAGGTGATTTAATATAATAACACATACATATTTAATATTTTTTTAAATTGTGTCGATCATACATACGATAAAAGAAAACGTATTTAATTAACAATAATGCAATTTAATTTGTTTTTCTCATTTTAAAAATAGTTTGTTTACCAAAAAAAACAAACGCTAAGTATCAAATATTAATGAACAATTTATTTTTAGGTAAATCTGCGGGAGGTTTATACGCAGGAGCTTCAGCTGGCGGTGGCGTCGCAGCACGTGCAGGCTTAGCAGGATCTTCTAGCGTAGCAGGATCCATAGGCGGATCATACGCTGGGGCAACATCTGGTGGTGGTGAAACCTACATCACCAAAGTTAGTCATAAAGCTCCTGCTCCAGTAGTACAAAAAGAAGTAGAAATCATCGAAGAACAAAAACCCCAAACTACTTACATTGAAAGAACAGTCATTCCTAATTACGTCGAAAAAACCGTCCAAGTTCCTTCATACGTTGAAAAAACAATTCGAGTTCCTACTACCGTTGAGAAGAAAATTCGAGTTCCTGCAGAACCTACTATTATCGAAAAGACAGTAGAAGCTCCTGCTGAGGTTGGAGTAAGAGGAAGCTTCAAAGGAGAAGTTGTCAAAGAAGCCGAAGTGGTTCCACATACTGTCACGTATGTTCAAAAAACCCGAGTTCATGGACATCACCATCCACATGTCCATAGCCGCATTCGCTACAAGAATGTGTAAGTAAGGAATTTAGGGAGTTTAACAGTTATTTATTTTTACAGTGGCTATGGTGGTGGCGGCTACGGAGGAGGATTCGCTAGTGGATTTGGAGGCGGTTTCGGTGGTGGATTTGGAGGAGGATATGGAGGTGGTTTTGGAGGAGGAGGCGGCGGCGGAGGAGGTGTGGCATCCGGAGGTTACAGTGTTACGAAATCAGTCAACTCTGGACTTTTTGACGATATCTTTAATGTAAGTTACGTTAGTATATTTTGCCGTAAGTAGGATACCACGCTTTATTTTCCTATTATTTAATTGGAAATAATGAGTTAACTTGACATGTGACTATTGTAAATAACAAGATATATTGATGGTTACTGCAAATTTTTTAGAATACTTAATTTGTACTTTTTACAATATACTACTGTTTGTTATCAATTTTGGCAGTAGGCTATGTTATTATCTATTTAACTTTGTGCAGTTTAATTCAGAACTTTGATATAGATAACTTCTACTATTGTTCTATCGTATCTATTATTGTTGGCAAAGTGAATATTTATTGTCACCAGGAAAAGGCGATATTAGAGAACGAGGACAATTAAAAAGTTATTTTTTGTGTTCAAATTTTAACAGTGAACGTATGAACGTAGTAGGTTAAGGAAAATATTGTATTTTAGAAGACGGATGATATAAAATAAGTGTTATAATCAATTATTGCTTTCTTAAAACCCTTTTAGACATCAGCAATATGTCTTACATTTCATTTTCTAAAAACTTATAAACACATTCTTAAACTCTGTAAATTTTTTCTTGAACATCTAAGATGTCATTGATGTTAAAATTTCCAGTGAGTGACAATCAATTGATCAATTGAAATTAAGCGTAAACTCTACAATTTAAAGAGTGCAGAAATTGATGATTACCATGTAGTATTTACTGTTACAAGTAATTGTAACTTAAAACATCCTAACGTGTGTATTTTTTTCAGATTCCTATATCAACATTAGGAGCCGTTAATAAGTTGGTTAGCGGAATTGGAGGAGGTGGATCTGTTTCAGTGTCTAAATCTTTTGGAGTTGGAGGATCAGCTTACTAGGAGCTTGTAACCAAATGTGATACATAAATAAAAATACTCAGTGAATTTTGTCAACTGATATATAAATTATTGTAAAATGACAAAGAGAAGACAAACACACAAATCAAATAAATATATCTTTAACTGACAATATTTGTTTATGTTTACTGCCTGAATTTCAACCAAATTCTCGCAGTCTGGTTTAGGACATATATTAAACTACAAAGAAACAGTTTCTGCAAATGTTGTTTCCAAATTTTTAGATAGCTAGATAGCTTTAGATCTTTTAACATACCCTACGATTAAAGAAAATCAAATCAACGTTGGGCGTTTGTCCCTTGTGTGAAATAGAAATAGTGTCTTAAGCTAAGTTTAGTATTGAATTCCAGTTTGTCAATTTGCTACAAATGTGGGTTTTAAACAGTCACTGAGTGCCCGACACATGGATAATCATCCAACTCTCTACAATAATAATAATAATCACTAAAATGATTAAAAGTTTACATAAAAAAATCGTGAAAAGTTGTTTTGAGAGAGTTTCCCTCGCCCCTCAAGTACAATGAAACATATTATCCAGCGAAAAGTTATATACCTAATTTGATTTTACGAATTTTGTTTTTTTTATAAGTACCCCTGTAAGTTGAAATAAACATATGTAAATACGTAATATTACGCCGCAGGAGAGTCAGTCACCTTCTGGAGCCAGTAAAAACCGGTTACCTTGCGTGTATTGTTCAATATTTTATTTGTTTCTGACTTATAAATAACTATTATAAACTATTAAAAATTCCATACGGCCCAATATTTGAAGAAACATCGCATGAGCTTTAGACGTATTGCCTTGGAAACACACGTCAGCATGGCAGTTATCATAGCACTTATTGTGTTGTCTAGTCATTTAGATTTTTCGATTTATCGTTTTCGATGTATTGAAATGAGTGTGGCGCAAGCTATATTACTGAGGAAGCAGCAATTATGAGTGAAAATTTTCCTGAATCAACTTTGGCTGTCATTTCAACTTATAATAGTTTAAAATACATGGTTATATGAGCACGAGCAGGGCTGTAAAAATTTTACTGACAAGCCAGTAAAATTTTTACAGGCTATAGCCAGTTAAGTGACATTTTCATGTTGAATACAGTGACTTGGTAAATTGATGTTTACAAGTGAGGAACTAATAATTGTAAATAAGTGTGCTACGGGGGTTTGTTCCAAATGAGGTTTTACTTTATAAAATTTTGTCATTTTTTTGAGCCACCTGTGTAAACAGTTGTAAAAAATACGACTGTGATGATAATATTTTGCAGAGATTCGACAAAATTTTGAGATGACGTCATGCTTTTTGTGGGAGGGGATAAATAAATACATTTTGATTAATCATTTACCATGATTACGATAACCTTAAAACGTTTCCAAGATTTCAAAGCATCCGGTTTTACAGTTCCTGATTTATTCAATAAAATAAATTGATTCTTTCATTAATTTTTTTGAGCCACCCTGTAAAAGCAAATCTAAAAAACATTAATGCAGTGTTAAATGACAAGTATAGACTCATCATATTTTGTATATTTTAGGTAGGATTTATTCGGCAAAATTTTGAGGTGACGTCATCAATTTTTAGGAGGGGACAAGCAAATGTATTTTGATTAAACATTTACCATGCTCATGACAATTTCAAAAGATCTGAAAGTTTTCAAAGCATTCGGTTTTACAGATTCAAAAATTAAATTTTGATTTTTCTTTCCAAAAATGGGTGTTTCGGGTAAAAACTCAACACTGGTTCATGAACTACACGCGTAGGACTACGTTATTTTATACAGTGTAAAACCCATTTACTACCTACAATGTTGAGATGACGTCAGCACATTGTTGGTGGGGATGATTAGACAAAGTTTGTTGTCCAACAAAAATTGACACAGAGGGCGGACAAGCAGACAGACCGACAGACGGAAACCAGAGACTCATTCATTCGTATTCTAGGTCATGACGCATAGAGAAACTGTGAAAGCAGCCGGTCGCCCAATGGACTCGATTACAATACTTCCTTATCTTAAGCTCACAAAAAAAACAAAACCAAAAAATTGAAAAATAAAAAAAATATTTTGACAGAACTTCCCTCGCCCCTGAAATACAATCAGAGATTCCAGTTTTTTCAAAAAATTACAAAATTTGGTTTTGTGAATTTGCGTGTGTGAAAAATATAATAGAAGTAATAGAATAAAATTAAATTTAATATTGAGTTTACGCTGAGGTTTTAAAACCAGAGTAAATAATTTTTTACCATATTTCTATAATTTTGACCAGTCCTAATTCGTGTGCCAATTATTCAGTATGGTTCTACATTTTTAACAATTTTAGAACAATTATTTTCAAAATGTTTATGTTTTTTTAATTCAGTCCTTCTTGTACTTTTTCTTCTTAGGATGAGAATCTTTAATTCTTTAAATTATAGTGTCATTATTAATATCATTTCTAGTAAATTTCAAAATCTCGGTTTGTGCTTAATTAACAAATTTGAAATCATAATCACAACAGTCACTTTGGGACACTTGGTTCAATTTTGTAAGTTTCTGATCTTCAGTGACCAATTGTAAGAGTGACACTATTCCAGTACACAACAAATTTGTAATAAAACGAGTAATATTTTCGGTTAGTTTGTTCAAACATTCGCCGAACTGTTATTTTTAGGGAAACGGTTATTGATTCTGATCCAGGAAGGGCTAAGAACAGCAACGAGAATAGAAAAAGAGTTGCCACGGATTTACATGATTTAACTAAGTGTACAAATCTAGTGTTTAAGTATGTCACAAAAAATGTTGAGAGTGGCCTCCAACTTGCTCTCAATGCAAGAGTTTTGCAGAGGTATTGCGATGCATGCATCATTTATAGACACTTTGTACAAATACAAATAAAACAAATACATTTTTGTACGACCATTGCTTTTTCGATCATTTACCGTACAGGTTTCCATAGCAGTAAGTTCAGTTTACGGGTTGCTACGACTAACAACCAAGAGGAGAACGGTAAGCAAATTACCTACTGTTCCTGCCCTCTATGAACACATAATAACAGAACTGTAGGTACTTCAAAAATGTTGAAAACTTTACTAAGGCTTATCAATTTAATGTAGATTTTTTTAATTGAGGAAATTATCTAACAATGTGGTCTGATTTAGAAACAACTTAGGTAAAGGTTTAATTATGTCATGCACATGTGTGATATCAAAAACTACTGCTTCCATGTGACAGTCTTCCATTCTGAAGAACTGACATGGTACAGGTCAAAAAAATTAGAATTTTAATTTTCTAGAAAAAAGTGGTAGCTCTGAAGTGGAAAGTTTGGAGTGGCAAAACGAATGGTAACGACACGACTCTTTATTTTATGTACTATTTAATTTAATTTTTATCCTACACAAGAGAGCGAATGCATATAAATCTAAATCTAAACACTAGAGATATTGAACATAATGCCAAAAGTAATTTGGTCACTGTTATAACATTCGGGAAGTCCAACATTTGCGTTTGCTGTTTGTGCATAGTTCAGCACTTCTATTTTTTCCCGCTAATTAAAAGGGGACATTGCATAACAAACTGCCTTAGTCCACTTTATTGTAAAGTGTATTTGAACAGTATGTAGAACTGTATTAATAAGTAGTTTTTTTTAACGTTTCTTTACGGTAACAGTACTTACCAAGTGATAAACAAACATACGCATCAACTTCTGCATTTAATTATTGTATAATGTATACAGAGTGATTATAGATACACTTATTCATCCAAGGTGATTGTGAAGTCTGCATGTATTATTACTGAAAATGAGACACTTTTTAATAAGAATTTTAATAAAAGAAGTGTGAACTTATAAGGAAAATTGGTACAATATTAATTCATCTTATTGATCAAATAAAATTAAATTACAGTAGGTAAATGCTGAATATGTTCCACATTTTGTTGTAAACAATAATGAACATTTGGTTTAGCTCGATCGATTACATCTCTGCATTATTATTTATGTTGTTAATTTTTTCTTTATGTTGTACCTATTATATTTGGCTGTGATTTTTGCTATGAGTTTAATTCTACGAACAGCTCTGCTTAACAATGATTTGCAATTTAGGGTTTAAATTGCTATTAACCCCGTAGAATCAGGATGCAACGACGTTATATATAAAAGTATTATTGTTAAATTGTAACCTGTATTTTTTTTGTTGCTCCTGTTATTAATTTTTTATAATAGACATTTTCATTTATGTATAATTATCTTAAAAACCAAAATAAACAAGATAAAAAAACACATTCAAATCCAGTTCCTTCTGATAAAAAGTTATGAAATATTTTTTCTATACAGTCAACGACCGCATATTAAAAACTTTTCAACAAATAACTGTAAAATATTCTTTTTTATAAGTGTGACAATAGCGATGTATTATTTCTTGAAAAAAAAAGAGAAAAAAGCTAATTCTGGAAATAACGGAAAGTGCATGCTACCTAATGGTAGGAGAACTCAATGTTCGGTCAGAATAGAAACTCGCAAACATTGTGAATTTGCCGCAGTCCGAGCAGTTAAGTGGTCTTCAGTTTTGCATACAACAGGTATGTAGTGATCTTATTTAAAGTTAAATTTTGTACAAATGATTGTGACGTTTTCTTGAAAACCCGGATGCAGTAAACTTTTAATTAAAGCGACTTTAATTAGAACCGACTCTAAACCTGATGCCATTCAATTAAATAAAATGTTGGCGCTGTTGTTTAGCTTCATTATAAAGGGGTAATAAAGCGTATCGAATTGTTCCCTAGAAATACATTGTCGACCCATTATTAAACTTGATTGCAGTTGATATTATATTATTAATCTAATTTTGGTTTAGTCATAATCTTTCATTTGAAGTTCAGGTAGTATAAAGTGGTCGCAATAAAGTGAGGTAAGAGCAGAGAGATGTAATGAATATTTTATATAACTACTTTCTAAATTTTATTTTTCTCCGAATAAAAGTGATAATTCATCATCCAGCAATTTTGTTACTCAGTACCTACTACCGAGTTCTATGTGATTATTTCGACACCGATCAATGACACAACACATTTCCATTAATTGTAAGCTTTCGATAAGTATAAAGAGCTAAAGTATTATTACATTAAAAATGCAGTTAATGCATTCACCGCACTCCTTTTGTTCCTAGAATTTCAATGAAAAATGCATAAAGTAACTATAACCGTGCTTTTTAAAATGCACTATTTCTCAGTGACTCAAGGACGATAAATGAAAGTCATTTTTTTTCCAGGCGGAATGGCTAACACCCTTGTGATTTTATGTTGTCTTGCAGTGGCTTCTGCAATTGCTAAGCCTGCAACAAATGATCAATTAGACAAGGTAAGCGCTTTCGTGAGATTTCTATTAAAAAAGTCCTCTTTTGCAACAAGTTTATGTTGACATGCATAGTTTAATTAGTATTTAAAGAAACAACAATTAGGATCACTTTCTCCACTGCAACCTGATATGAAGAGTATATTACCATGTTTAGGTAACCGTAAACGACGTAGCCGCCAATGCGGTATCACCTGATAAAAAAGCAGAAGAAAATGAAGAGGAGAAGAAGGATGGTGCAACGGTTCAAATAACCGGTATTACAACCGGAGTTGAAACTCCAGACCAAATCCCGACTCTTTTCCATCCGCAAAGGGCTGGATCAATGTTCGCAAGATTTATCGACGACATCTTTCAAGTGAGTTACGGAAGGAAAATAAGTGGCGGAAGTTTAAAAATGTCGCAATTTAATAAGTGAAACAGAAAATCTAATTCGGCGTTCAGCCACCGGTGAAATGTATTCATTTTGCTGAGTGAGCTTGGTAAACTGTTTTATCTTGAACCGGAAATCGATTTAGTTTTGTTGTCCTTAAAAGTTCTTTGTGCGGCATGCCCGACGTTTTGCCGATTTCTAGATAAGCTACACAATAGTTCAAAAGCTTTCTAAGAAACAACGAAGTTATGTAAATGTCAATGAAAAAGCCATTGAATTACAATACATTTTTTGTTGTACTGAGTTACAACGCACTGTGTGTCCTAAGACTGTTTTTGTGTATGTAGTTGTATAATAAATGTAAACAAAGAACTGTCGAAGGGTAACGGAATAGTGTTAATTTTACATTTGAATATAAAACTTGTTACTCATAGTAGTTCACAAAAAATTTTGGTAACTACAAGTTCTGATAGAGGAAACTTTCCATGTTTCTGTTTATCTGGAGACTAATAAAATTCAGTTATCGCACAAATTAGAACGTTATGTAATTTAGTACTTTAACAAATTTAAATTAGCTAATTTACTGTCACTCTCGATTAAACCCACTTATTTTTAATGTGTGGTTTTCCACTCATTAATATTTCGTGTGTTTTTATCTAATCAGAATGCTTTTTCACATTTTTTCGAAATCACGAATATTAAAAAAGTACACGTTGCATTTAAAATGTTAATCCTTCTGTTCTGTCGTGACTATTCTAATATTATATATAATTTTTATTAAAGACCTCTTTACAACTTTACAATTACAATTAGAATTTGCAACAGATGACATGATGGAAATAACACCTTAAAGGTGTACGGCTTAAAACATTAATACAGAGATTTAAAATAAATATACCTAATCACACAAAAGAAAATTGCTTTCCTACTGGTAAAGAAATTCGTCAAACAATTTTAATGTGTGCACTTATTGATGTAAACATTACAAAAAAAATCATAAAACATCATTACATGTTATCTGAACTTGAACTTAATATAATAACAAATATTTAACTAAAGAAATTTAGTAGTTGTATTCTTCAGTAAAATAAATAAAATTTCAGCATGTTATAATACACACTAACATACACATTATTTGTCAGATAAGTACGATGTTTTCAGTTAAAGATCTATCACTTTAAATTCAAGAGCAGTATTTTGCCTAAAGTTTCTTGTTCGTTAAATTATACTCACAGAAAAGTGATTGTTAGAAGTGTATTCTCCTGTAGCGACCCCAGTGACAGTTTCCGTCCTGTAGATTCGGATATACTAAAAGCATCCCATTAGCCGCACACTATACAAAAGCATATTTAAGGAACTTGTGTCACCTAAGGCTTAACATCTGTTTACATTTTTTGTTGCTATTGAGGTTATGTTTGGGTATGAGAAATTTTTAAATGTACTTAGTAAAAAATGGGAACTGAGAGCACACCTAATCATTTTTATAGCTTTGAAAAAAAAAAACAATGTGTTTAAAGTGTTGGCGATGGTAAAATAAAGGACTCGAGTAGTCTTATGACTTTTTTATTATCTACATTTTTTGTTAATAAATGTTTGCCGAAATACAAAACACCTCTGTATGTATAAATTAATGAAAAACATTTTATGTTTTTATTGTACTCTTTAATTAATCTTAAAAAACGAAAACATAACTTTAAAGCAATCGATTTTGACGTCCTCAAGTTTTGAGCGATTACGAAAATTTTGGTTAACGCTTTACAGTTACCATAACATTCTTTAAAATATCTTTAAAATTTCACAAGGACCTGTATTAGAGAGACACCAGACAGTAAACGATGGACAAACGGAAACGAGGAATCTAATTGTTTTTTTTTTTTAATTAAGTATATATTTCAAAAGTTTGATACCTTTTTGTGAACAAGCAATTAGGTGGTGATAATAATGAAGTAGGTACAACAAACATAATTAAGAGAAGTTTTATTATTTGTCCATATTTTAAATACTTACAGATCTAAAGTAGTGTTGTGTGCAATAACGTTAAATATCCACTACTCTCTCTACCACAATCACGTTTTTTGGTCGTTGTCCAATTACTGAGTTTCTTTCTTAGCGGTCAGTTTTATATTTCAGAGCATTACCAAATATCACCAGATCATGCAAGCTCATCAAGGAAGCATTTAAAATGTTATATATAACAAAAACCGTATACCTCGAAGAGGTTATTTTCAACGATTTCTATATAATTATTGCCTAGAGCTCATATATTGACTATGTCGTTTTGTAAAAACATGGCAGACATGACAGAAGGACACTACAGAACATTTTTTGTAATGCAACAAACGTCGACATTACTGACAAAAAAATTGAACCCAAACTTCCTCTAAATTACGAATTTCGCAGATATTTAGAGCCAAAAATTGTGTGTTGATGTAAATGAATAAGAAGTAATTCAAAATAGATTAATACCATATGACACATATAAAAAGAAACATGATAACATAACAGCTGTTACAAAAATTCCATGTAAAACTTGAAAAAGATTAACAAATGCCGAAATTAAAAAAAATATCTTACTCTACAACAAAACGCCTTATCTGTGTTTCATGTCGTAACTTGATTTTTCAGATTCCCATAAACGTTCTACAAAACGTGGCGAAGTTGATAACGAGTCCATTTACGCAATCAAAAAAGACCCCTGAGGCAAGTGCCACATCGTAAGGTTAATATAAGTTTCTTTTTGTAAATAATTTAGCTATAGATTTATAAATATTAAGTAGACTAGACTTTAGGTACTACAAATTGTTATAATAAAACTTCATTCTTGTTACAAAGATAAATAAATCATTAACAATTGAATTTTTCAAAAATATGTACATAATTCCAAATTTTCCGATATAAAATTGACTAGATTCATATATACAACGGATTAGGTATACAAAAATGACCTCTAGGAACGCATTTTTTGTGATTACATATTCATCATATTCAACGCTCTTATTTTTGTCATCGACTAACCATTTTTTTCTTAGATTTTTTTAAATAAACTTACGACTTTAATAAACATGCACCAACACAAAAGCTTAAAACACAACTTATCGGTAGTAATTGTGACGTCACATTAAAATGATAGGCTGGTTTGAAAGGTCTTCTTTTATGTCCTTTTAACATTTAAACATGAAATTGTAATTGATGTACTACATGAAACGTCAGTTTAGTTAAAACCATTAATTATTCATGGGATTGTTTGATAAGCTTTGTTATTTCGCAATAGTCAAAACAAGGTAATTAGAATTATGTAATTCAGAAATTGTTTTAACTACCTATTATCATTTTGTGCAGTTAATGTGCCGGATACTGCCTTTATTTTTGCTTCCTATTGCCACCTCTTAAGTGATCACCATATGTCTTTGCTGTCTGTCGAAAATTGTTGATTTTTTAAATTCTGAATTCATTTATTATGACAATTTGGTGGGTAACAGGTGGCGTTATTCATTGACCAACCGCAGTCCAGATTACTCTTTAGATTTTTATTTTTGTGGTTAATACAGAAAACATTTGATTTAATTTAGAAGATTTATTAAACATACATAAATTAGGAATTTTTGTGCCTGTTTAACACGTGATACTCTATTAGTCGCGACAAGTCGTGAATAAGTAGGAAGTTTTGTATTCAGTCTTACGGGAGACAGATCGAATATACTTATGCTTAATGACATAGGTTGAACTAATTGTTTGTAAAATAAAGTGGAAGTACTATATTTCATTCAATTTCAGTTTGTTTATATTCATATTTTTTTTATATAATATTAGAAAGAGAAATAAACATTTGAATGTTTTATATCATTGTAATAGTAATTAAACGATTTATCAAAATCGCTTAATAATAATGGCATTTATAGAATCTCAATATCTAATCCGTTTTTAACACAAAGCCGCAGAGTTTGATTTGGAACATGCTGTATACATTAACTAACTAATGAATATCGAATTTAAGAGTACAGTGATGACGACTTCATTAAAACTTTATTAACTCTCTAACACACATACAAAGAGTACATTGTTAATGTAAAAATAACTTAACAATATTTAGTGATAATATAATCGCTTTTCGGAGCCAATGAATCGGAACAGTTATTACGATGATCACTCATTCATAAAATTTCCAGAACAATCTAAAAACCACAAAAAGACGGATAGAAACTGGAAATTGTCAATTTTTACTCCACAAAATATTCAATAAAAAAAAATAACATGCGACTGATTTTACTGCAATGTTCTCCCCAGTTACCGCTCTAAAAATGAAAAATTGGTCTAAGGTTATTTATAGAAGTTTCCTTGCCCCTGAATTACAGTCCGATGGTAACTTCTATACATTAAAAAACTAATCAATGATTACTTCGACAAAACTTCCCCCTCCCCCCTGAAATACAATAAAACATTTTTTCTCCGAAAAATTACAAAATTTGATTTTGCAATTTCTTATTCTTTTTTATTAAAACCCACATAAGTTAAAATAAAGATATATATGTAATATAAAAGTAATCTGAATGCCTAGGCTAAATACTCAACACGGAACCATAAACTACTGTTGTAAAAGCTGGCGATATCATCGTTGGTGCTTATACTGGTATAAAATGTTATTATACCATTTGGATTTTTTTTGCGAAAAAATTTGGATGCCTAAATTAAAAAATCAATGCAGATTCATAAACCAAAAGTATAGGAGTATGTTATTTTATCAAATATAAAACACGTTTTCAAAAAAAAGGAACATTTTCAAATTGTCTATGGGATTGATTAGCCAAACTTTGGTTAGAGTTTCACCATATTTTTAGATTATATTCCTAACATAGATAACAAAATTTGACAACAATCGGTGTAGTGATTTCGGCGATTATCTATCTAATAAAAGTCGACGCACACGACAGACAGACAGACGAAAACAGAAGACTACTTTTTCGTACTCTAGGGGTAACGAAACGTCGAAAAAACGTGACAATAGGAAGTCGCCCTATGGACTCGATTACAATACATCTTCGCTTACGGTCCTGAAGTAAAAAGTGATAATTGTAATGTATCCATACAACTTTGCAGCGTGTTCAAAATTTCGAAGCAAACTTTTTATAATTTTTAAATTAAATTGTAGGTAGCAGTTTTTTCCCAAAAACACGAATGCAAACGTTTAGAAATGGCGATGTATTATAAACCACATAACTACATTATTTTGCAGATTTTACAATGTTGTCACGCGAAGGGCAAATAGATGAATTGATTTAGACAAAATGGAGCTTTTCATAACTGGTTATTGTAAAAAATCTATATTCTTCTATCTATCTATCTATCTATCTATCAATCTATCTATCTATCTATCTATCTATCTTCTTCTATATCTGTACATATATAAAAATGAATGAATGTTTGTTTGTTTGTCCCGTATGCGTTCGTAAACCATTTACAAAAACTTGTTCGTGTATTTGTTCTATCAAAATTTATAAATAGAATATAGCAAGTGTAACATAAAATATTTATTTTGTGAAGTATCTTCAAGTGTTTAACTAAAAAAATTACATAAACTACGTCTGCGTCGAGAATATTTTCTTAATTTTTTTTATATAGTTACAAAACACGTTTTTAAACATATAACTTAAAATGTTTTCGCATTTTACACAGCTTTGTTGTAACTTTAGTAAAAAGGAAACACCAAAATAGTACTGTCCGTAACGTCAAAATTAGTTTTGATTTAAAAGCTATATACTTCGTCTGTGTACCTACAGCTTGACTCGATAATTTTTTTCCGGATTGGTCTAAAGATTGAGTTATAAGATAACTATATAAATTTACGAAAGCTTTTGCGTCATTTGGTTCGAGAATGAGAAACGGGTAGAAAGCTGAATTATACACCGGAAAATTACTGACTAATTCAATCTGAAACCCTAAAAAGAGTCGACAAAAAGGATACAAACTGAACTGAATAAACATCAATTTATTTCATTTAATAAAACCAGACCTTATTATGAACACTGTCTTGAACACTTAATTTAATCTCGTGTTGGAGCTGTAAGTTTTTCCAAGAGAAGTTTAAATGTTTAACAAACTGTTAATTAATGTAACTTAATTTTCACCGAATGCCCACTGTATTGTCACATTAAATAATTTCTCTAAATGCAGAGGTACGCCAAGATTTTGTCAAATTCTGTTAAAATCTGGTTTAATTAATGATTACTTAAATGAATAAAAAATGCAGTTGTAGTCTACCAGTGTTTGCGTCGACGCGTTCGATCTTACTACAAATTTAATTGGAGATTTCAGTTAGATGTGGCTTTTCATGTCGGGATGTTGTAAATTCATTGTCAGTCAATAGCGTAGTTACCATAGACAAACTTCACCAATATTTCAACGATTTTAACAAAAGCTGTTTACTAAAAGTTTAATTTAATCTGAATTGAAATCCGCATGACGGCTTTAAATTTTTCTGAGCTGAATAAAAACACCAACGCTTCACAAGAACTATTAATCTCAGTTGAAAGCTACACTGTAGTAGCATTAATTTTGTTTTTCATTGGATTATTTGGATTTTCTTTAAATTTGTCAGTGATAGTTTTTATGTGGAAAGAAAAACAGGTAATAAATAAAATTACTTGCTTTAAAAAATATTATCCTTTTAATCTTATAGCTGTGGACCCCTTTAAATATAATCCTCTTCAATTTGGTTTTTAGCGATTTTTTAGTGTCAATTTTAGGAAATCCATGGGCATTTATTTCAGCGATCAATTATAGATGGGTATTTGGAAGAATCGGATGTGTATTGTATGGTTTTATAATGTCATTTTTAGGTAAGTTTCAACGTTCTTGGTCAAATACCTAATGTAATGAAGTCGTTGTAGGTATCAATTCTGTTACAACTTTAACTGCACTTGCTTTTGAACGATACTTGCTGATTGCTCGCCCATTTCGCAACTCTGGATTGAATTTCCAACATGCTCATACTTTAGTGCTGTTTCTATGGTTTTATTCTTTATTTTTAACAGTACCACCTCTGTTAGGATGGGGTGAATACGTTAATGAAGCAGCTGATGTAAGGTAATTTGTTAAATTTAACTTTCTTAATTGTTTACTTCAAATACTCCCTACGGAAACTTTGATAATTAAAATTAAAACGAACACTTCAGAAGCACATAGTCTTAACCATATCTGTTCTGTTATAGAAAGTGTTTGAAACAGAGAACCTGTTTTGTTGGCATGTAATCAGTAATAGTTTGAGGGAAAAAAACGTTTTTGAAATATTATTTATTTCGATGCGCTTATCAAGAGCTTGTAGTAGTATATGACTTCAGGAATCGTCCGGAGAATTCAGTTAGGTGTTGAGAGTCGATCTGGAATTTCAACTTAGACTGTTTTCTGGAAGATTCTTGAAGGCACACAGTACTAGAAGTTTTTAGCAAACACCTGGAAAAGAATTTTCTTGCTTAAAGTATTTGATATTTGAGCTTGTGTTTGAAGGTCTAAGGTTTGTAAAAATTTCAACATAGAAGTTCACTCTTATGTAAGAGCATAAAATAAAAATACTGGAGGCCCGATTTAACCTGGTGTCGAAGAAGACCATGATCAACAGTTTAGTTAAGAGATTCAGCAGTGATGTATTTGGTTGTTTCTTATGTGGCTGTGACTCTTTTTAATGCCTTTATTTATACATATAGTTTATCATCTAAAGGACATTAATTTTAATTAGAATAATCTAATATTCAGTAGACAGAACATACTTTAAGTCCACAAAATGAAGTTGAAAAGGTATAAAACTATAATTAATTACTATAGTTTTAAGAAATGCTGGAGTAATAAAAATTATCATACCAGTGTTATTAATATTTATTTATAATGCAATGTTCAGTCTCCAAGTTAACAAAAATCGAAAACATTTTTACTTCAAGGTAACTCAAAGGGAAAACACAGAAGTAATTCCGATCATCAACCCCCGAACAGATTTATAGGAATTAGGTACTATTTTACTGATGCGCATGCATGTACTTTTCTGGTATGACGAAAACCTCAGTTTGTCGCTACTGCATACGTTAACTCGACGTTAGTTATAATATATTTCCACTGTGGTTAAACCGATTGTCACAGTTCTAGACGTATATACAGGGTGGATCAGCTAAAAGGGGACATCTCGAATATTTTGTCTATTTATGGACCTATGTATATGCTAATGGATATCGTTTACAAATACAGACGAATAAGTTCTATGTACGTATCTCTTCCTTAACATGGAATAACTGATAAGACAGCTCGAAGAAAAAACTCGTAATTTTTTTTTTATTTATCTCAATTTTTACTTCAATATAAAATTGAAAAAAAAGACTCTGCAAAGTTCATTATTTAGTGATTTATTTCGATATACAGGGTTAGTCACGAGAGAATTACTTCTGAAAATTTTTTTTACGCAACCCAAAATACGAATACCATGTACCATTTGATACTAACTGAATTTAAAATGAAATGCTTAATCCATGATTGCTTTGAGTTTGGCAATCTCATTTTGACAATTGTGGAAAAGGAGGTTACGCGAGTGTCCATGGTGGTACCGCATCCAGTCGGAAATCTCCTCTGGCGCCGCTAATAAATTTGTCAGTGTGCCTCTTGATCTTTTGCAACCTATTAATCACGAGAAAATTATTTTTAAAAATTCCTTTTACGGCATTTTATTCAAAGGTTACAACACAAACTCAAACAAGTAAGTAAATAATTTAACTACTAATCTGTTGAAAATGTTGGGCATTTTGGAGGGATGCTACGGCTTTTTTGTAAATGGATGGCCGAAGAAGTCCAGAGGTTGCAGATTTGCACTTCAAAGAGGGTCTAGGTGACGCAGAGATGGCGAATTAACACATGCACATTAGCGGCGAACAACATTGGTAGAGCACTTACGGCTTCAGTATAGCCCAGATTGATCTGACTGTATGTCGTCGATCCAGTGGGGCTCTAGAGGCGAGTCAACGATGAAAAAAAATGTTAAAAATTAATTAACGTCAAAGTGACACTGCCAAAGTCAAAGCAATCATGGATTAGGCATTTCATTTTAAATTTAGATAATATCAAGTGGTACAGGGTATTAGTATTTTGGGTTGCGTAAAAATAATTTTCAGAAGTAATTCTCTCGTGACTAACCCTGTATTTTGTTTGCTTTTGTAAAATAATATTTTCTTAAAGCGTTTTCTGCGCTTTATTTTCTACACATTTTTCGTAAGAAATGCTTTTCTGAACAATCCATTCGAACGTTTTACCAAATTTTACGTGAAGTTACACTAGCGAACAACGTCAGTCATAAAATTAATTAATGTTTTTTATGAATACTAAATAGTGAAGTTAATCAAAATTTGTTTGAAATAAAAAAAAAAGCTGCAAAATCTGAAAAATAAATGGTATTTCTGCAAAATTTCGTTGCTTTTTTTAAAGCGCTGAATTTACATATGCACCCACGGTATTATTCTTCATTTGCGAATTTAATATATTAAAAGTTATACGAGGTGTCCCCTTTTAGCTAAGTCACTATGCAATCAGGGCAATAAAAGATATATGTATAGGCTAATCAAATTTTATCAAAATTCCTGTAGTATTTACAAATGTGTTAAATAAAAAACGTTTTTACATAGTGCTTATATGTCCAACCACAAATTTTTATGTTACACATATATACATACCTACCATTTGGAAAAGAATCCATAATATACAGTGTATCTTTGAACAATCAGCTGAAAGTATCTCTAACATGTTAAAATAACAAATAGTATACAATTTTTTGGTTTATTAATATATTTTTTTAAAACCGTCACTAAGAATAACGTTGTTAAAACAGTGTGCTATTTATATTGAATGCAAGCCTGTAAGATGTAAAATGAGAAGAAAAAAAAATCATTGAGGTATTATTAAGTAACAGTTTATTACAAATATTATTAAGAAAATTCTCCTCAAGCCTTTGTTGTTACAGCTGTTCCGTAAACTGGGAGAAAAAAAGCATAAATTCCATGACGTACATTACCTATCTCTTTATATTCGGCCTCTTCATCCCTCTTTTGATTATAACGTTCAGTTATGTAAACATTATAAACAGGATGAGACGAGTATGCAAATATTTCCATTATTAAAATTGATATTAATACCAGTTTATCCTAGAACGCTTTCAGGATGGGTCAAGTAACTAAAGCCGAACGCAAAGTGTCATACATGATTCTCTTAATGATAATAGCTTTCCTAACAGCTTGGAGTCCATACGCCATTTTCGCCCTTATTATACAGTTTGGTAATTCATCTGGTATAACCCCGGGAATAGCAGTGATTCCTTCGTTATTAGCAAAAAGCAGCATTTGTTATAATCCTCTCATTTATATTGGACTGAATGTTCAGGTAATTTTCGGTGAAATGGAATTAGGAGTATTGCTATGATGTCGTTTCAGTTTCAGCAAACGTGGAAACAAACTCAAGAAAAGCGTAAAAAGGATTATTCGGTTGAGGTTTTACCTACATCTGGGATAATTTCGCGCGACACAAATGTTGTATTTCCAGGAAAAGCAAGACACGGGAAACCTGTAAATGAAAATACGAAAACATCAAACTCATCTCAAGATATTCCGACACTTATCACAACGATTTAGAGAGACGAAGACTACGTCATTTTTGAATGAATTATTAACAGAAAAATTAATAAATGTATTAATTAATTTTTGCGTACTTTTTTTTTAATTTTCAAGCATAGTCGATTTATATTTAAAATCACTTTTCATTATGTATTTACTCTTATTAGAAAGACATCGAAAATAGTCGTTATGGAAGTAATTTTCAATGTGCGCATGGTAGTGTTATGAAATAAACACATACGCCGCCCCGGTATGACGCCTATGGGTTTCCTGATGTGTGTGACGGTTCAGTGACTCATCATCACCGACGGTAAGGACTACCGCCGGGAACAGCCAGTCGAGTCAGTCAATGAAAGAATTAGAGTGTAGTCAAATCCGTTCCAGTCGTTTCATGAGTAGGGTTAAGTAGATTTGGAATTATTCGTGTAAATTTGTATTACTGAGAAATAAATTATTGAGTTTTACACATGCCAATTTTTAACACCCGTAAAACATAACAGTAGGATGCTAGTCTATCTACAATACATTTCAAAAAACGAATGAATACCCAGATTTATTATATATATTATTAATATTCGTTCTGAGATATAGTTCTTACACAGAAAGTGACTATTTAATTTATAACATACGATTCTCTGAGAATTGGTTCTCTACCAAACTGGATCCTACCAAAAATGCTAACTAACTTTTTTCTGTTATTCCCATTTCTGTTGTATTGTATAATTGCAATCAGTTCTCTTATTGTCACAATATTCGCACAAAAAAGAAAAAATTTGCGTTATTTAGGTATATAAAACTAACCGTAAAAGTTAACGAAGTATACAGTCAGTTGAAACGGAAGCGTTCCTCAATATAATTTATTATCATTAAAGATACATAGAAAAAACAATAAAAGAACAAGTTGTCCTGTGAGCACCATAAACGAATTTTTTTTCTCATCTACAGCGTTCTTTTGTTTGGCGTCTGAAGGTTAACATAAGTTTGTTTTTAATGAAACTTTTCTTATATTTTCACATGTTCTAATTCGTTTTTCTTAGGCTTTATAAACATAATAATCTTTGTCAAATAATAATTCCAATTTTCTTAAAATTTTTTAACAATGTTCACAGAAACATTGCATATTTTATCTGTGTTACAATATTTAATGGACAGATAAACAAAAAATTTAATTGTTAGTTTTTCAAATGAAATACCCTATGTTTTATTTGAAAAATTCCTCTGCTGATATTTTAATGTGCCCATGAAATAAACTGAAAATTTTAGAAACCATTAACCTTAGATATAGAATACTTGACTAAAAGAATGAATAATGAAGCAAGCAACTAATAAAATAGAAGGCGTTATATGTTTCAAAATTATAACAATTTCGATTTTTTATAGCCACTCTGCATATTAAGGCTCAATTTCCTTGTATTTGTACCAAACCAAAGCGCATACATCGGTTTATTTATCTATAAAATATTGCAACAACACAACTTTGGTTGTTGACTTTTTTCCATGATGAAAAGTAGAAAGTCTTAAGTTCGAAAACAAAAATAAAAAAAGATGTTTTGTTATATGTGCGTCAATTTGACGTTTAGTTATAAAAACAAAATATCGGTTTAAATACATAGATTTAAAAGGATGAAAAATGAGCCGTTGTTGTTATATTCATTCCGAATAATTTTTTAAGTTTTTTGTGATATCATAAAATAAAAAATGAAGGTTAGAGAGATTGTTTTGAATAATGAAAGTCTGATCGATTGCATGTGCCCAACACCAAGTAGTGAACTAAAATATCGTTAAATATCTAAAAGGGAAGTTAAACTTTGAAGGCGTCTTCTTCACTTGGACCTAAGATTTTTAAAATCATTTTTTCTCTGCTCGGTAAAAGTTCTTAATAACGTGTTCTTTTAGAATTAGTGCTCCATTTTTTGATCATCCTGTATATTTCAGTTACCTTACAAAAATTGACCTCCAAACCACAATCATTATTCAAACCATGTTGAAAGCTTGATTTCGTCAAGAAAACTTTTTGTTTTTGGAAAAGACCACAGTATTGTCACACAGTTTTTTAGTTCAATGAAATTAATTGTGTAAAGTAATAGTAGTAGAGTAATAATTCCTGATTTTTCCTTGTGAAGGTACGTCTAAAAGAAACATTAAAAATTTACACGCTTACTCGACAACTAACAATTTACAATCACTTAACGCTACCAATCTAAACCATTTGTCAGTTTGTTCCAAATGGGGAGTGACGATTGTACGAATACAAAAACTTTGAAACATATACAAATGCTTTATGTGTACAAAGACTTCGTAAGTCAAAACGAAGGTTTATTGAGAATAAGTTAAGATTGTGAAGGTAGTTTTTTGCCACGACAGAGTTTCTACTATTGATTTTAACCTCATTCGACTGATAAAAATAAATTGTTTCAAACTCTTTCGTATGTCAGCGTCGTTGATTTCAATCAGCAATTCGTGACAGGATGTGATTATCACTCACAGATTGTATAAAACGTTTCCAGCAAGTGCAATTAGTTAGGTTTTATTCTTTGTTTTCCGAAACCACTGTTTGATTCCGTCAACGTGAAATAAATATCCAAGAAATTGTTTCATGTAATGAAATCTTCTGATATTGTTTTGGTATCAAGTAAATGTCACATGTCTATTTTCAATATGATTTTTTCTACGTAAGGTTACATTAATAATACATGTAGATTATCCCACTCAATCTGTTGTCAAGCAGCAATTTCCAAGACAGGACAAAATTCCCGTTTCAAATGATTTCGTTAGGTTGCGTCCCCCATATTCACGGATTATTATTATTATCAATAAAGACAAGTACAAAGCAAGGGAACGAAGTTGTTAAGTAAAAACATCAGTAAGTAATAATATACATAGTTTAAAAAAAAAAACTAAAAAACACCCTTGTGTCACTACTACTTATCATGAGTATGATTGTATTATCATCCAAATTACACACCCTCACAAAGTTTCAACTCGATACAATAATTAGAATTCTGTTAAAATTGATTTCCTAGATGTGTTTGCATCGTTTATTACAAGTGAAGCTTAATATAAGCGTGTTAAAAAGTTTGTTACTATATTTTATGTGCTCCTTGAAATAAAATCTCACTTGTTATTAATATCAAGTCAATTCGCTTAGATACCTTTTTTTCATCAATTTTCCAAAAAAATTTGTACGGTCCGTCTGCGATTCCTTAAAACTGTATTGTAGCCCTTATGTGGTATATTTGTGGTGCACATTTTTAAGTGGGACATCTCGAAAGTACTACGGCAAAGAGCTAAGACAGGAAGAGTCAAACATGTAGTGGATTTGGGTACTAAATGGAATAATAAATTGTAACAAGAAGTTTTATGTTTCAAACTGTTCATCATGATCGAAGTGTTGTGGCTGCTAGAGTTGTTTTTATAATAAAGCTTGATGAGTTTTAAAGCTAGTATTATTATTGAACAATCCAAATCATAAATCTCATTCCTCGCAGTTTTTTCTATTTTGCAATAAAAATTTGGAAGATTTTACGGCCTAGTATGTTAATTTTTAACCGGTATAAGATATATTACTTATAGAAAAATTGGTCGAAGGTTATTTGGACAGAACACCCTTCGCCCTTGAAGTATAGTCCATCAAATCCCGTTTCTTTAAAAACTTCAACTGTTTGTATACTAGTCCAAAAGCTATAAGGTTATTTGAACATCACAGAAGTATTTAGTTGACCGCAAATTAATACCCCTTTTGTGTGGTTCGCACTAAGCTTACCGGTTGGCAGTAAATCGTCGTCTAAATATTTCTTGCTCACATTTAGCAGGGCCGGCTTTTAAAGCGAGTGGTTATTTCGAAACCCTCTGCGGCTGCAGGTAGTAAAGAATAAAATGTAATCTTTGCGCCAAAGCACTGAACAAAAAAAGGGTAAAAGAATAATTACTCTTGAGCAATGAGCTCCTTTAATGCAGTTGTTTCCATTGTGCTACAAAAATTAGCGTTGAAATGAATTAAAAAAAAAACAAACACAAAAATTAAAGTATTAATTTACAAACTTATCTATTTATCTACATAATTATTCATCTTCGTCCAGATCACTTTGATGAATTTGTTCATCTTCGCTATCACTACCATTATTTACATTAATTATAAAATTTTGTATATTCGGTGACAAATATTCTATTACTTGTCGCAAGCAGTTTTTCCACTCATCGCTCTTCATATCGTCAACTTGTTTTCTTATTCAGTCTACTACATTTGCACTGAAGTTGGGTGACGAATTATTTTTTGTGATACCTTTTTTCAATGTACTCCACACCATTTCAATCGGGTTTAGTACACAATAATATGGTGGTAATTGCAAAACGACGTGACCACTTCTCGCAGCCACCTCATCGACTACGTATTGGATGGGCATATTCCATTTCTCAATAGAAGAACAGATACAGGGATCCAGCCATTTTCGTTCCCGCTCTTCATATCGTCAACTTGTTTTCTTATTCAGTCTACTACATTTGCACTGAAGTTGGGTGACGAATTATTTTTTGTGATACCTTTTTTCAATGTACTCCACACCATTTCAATCGGGTTTAGTACACAATAATAGGGTGGTAATTGCAAAACGACGTGACCACTTCTCGCAGCCACCTCATCGACTACGTATTGGATGGGCATATTCCATTTCTCAATAGAAGAACAGATCCAGGGATCCAGCCATTTTCGTTCCCCGCGTGAAGAATAATGCTCCTTTTTCCACGACTTGGAGGAATATTCAGTACACATCTACTTGAACCATCTGTGATAGGTACCTCTTTTAGAAACATTGTGTGTATCATACCAGGTCTCGTCCAAGTAGATGATCGATCTACCTTCAGCACGAAATTTTCTAATCTGAATAATGTATTCAAACCGTAGTTTTTTCCATAATAATTACTGCTGTTTGGTTTATTAATTTATAGTAGAAACCGATACTTCGCAAATATAATCTCAGAGTTTCTTCCGAATAGTCGATATAAAAACCTCGTTTCCTCATCGTTTTCATAACATTTTAAGTCGTTGGAACTACATTTCACTTATATGATTCACGCATGATTATTTAT